AAGGAGACGAAACAAGAATTATTTACTATATTTAATGAGAAGTAACTCCAGTTTTAATTTAAAATACCTCCATTTTGACTTTTTGATTACGACGTCGAAAATTGTTGATTGGAAATCAGAAAAAATAAATGGAGGTTCAAGTTCTTAAATCGTAGAAACGGAAGTGGAAATCTAAACATCAAAATTGATGTACTTTAAACTAAAATTGCCGTTTATTACATTAAAAGTAGTAAATAAAAGAGGATTTAGTATACTATTCTATAAAAAGTAAATTCCAGAGTACGGTGATAAAGGAGTAAGGCAAGGTTAACTTAGTTTGAAATACACATGGATATAGACATATTATTTTGCTAAAAACAGTTCGACAATGAGATGATAAACAAATGTGCAGCAAAATTTTGAAAAGGGCCGACATAAAGAAGTGAAAAATTAGACGACTCAAGGAACCAACTCTTTAAAAAGAGTCTAAACATTGCATGAAAAACCCAATAATTATATAGCGCAGAAATTTAAAGAATTCATAAAACCAAAAAAAGAATAGGAAAAAATTTTGTTATAAAAAGAATTAAAATTTTTTATAAAAAACCACTGTATTATCGTCAAGTAAGAGCAAGAGATAAGTAAGAGCAATTGAGAATTGTTAGGTTAGGTTTGGTTAGGTTAGGTTAGATAGAGATTAGATCAATGGCAGATCAATGCTGGTATACTGACGGCTCTAAAACCGATGAAAGAAGCAGATCTGAAGTATACGGATTGAAATCAAGGCTAAGTGTTAATGAATACCTAGGTAATCACTCTACTATCTTTCAAGCTAAAATGTAGGCTATAGAAATATTCCTGTAGAAACTAATAAAAAGAAGTTGCATAAACAGATCTATAACACTTATATCCGATGGACAGTCGGCACTTATGCACTAAAATTGAATTGACTTAATTCCGAGTTAGTTTGAAACTGTCAGAACCCAAAACCTGTCAATGCCATAGCAAGAAGTACAGCCAAAAGAACAACATCGGCCTTTGTAAAACGTATGAAACGTAATTACTGGTATAAACAAATGGGTCTCAAATATTCGAAGGCTTTTATACATGAACATTCGAAAAATAGATTCAAAGATCTACTAGATATAAATATTAATGATCTGCAAATTTACGTAGGTCTCCTAACGGGACATTGTTGCCTCAAAAGCACTTAAAAAAAAGCCGACTGACAGAAAGTGCGAATTTCAGATTCTGTTTAGCTGGTGATGGGAAGGCGGAGCACGTTTTATGCAACTGCCCAGCGTTGGCTAGGAAAATGCTTAATACGTTTAAACATTGTCAATTCTAACTTTGTGAAAAAGGCTTGGATAAAGGAAAACAAAACTAAATAGAAAGTGACAATAAAAATACACTTGAAACACCTATCATGACATGTACATAAGAAATGCATGGGAACGAAAGTCGCTATAAGTAAAGACATAAAAGAAATTTATCAGAAATTCCTATAATAATAAAAGTATTAAAAACTAATCCGTTGATAAGCTCTTAAGATAATAATTTCAAACTTATCGCATTGATATGTAAACAAGTAATGTTATCTTTTGAGAAAAAGATGGCAGAAAGTTGGTTTAATGCTATTTCAAGTTCGGTATTAAAGAACCTGAGCAGAGAATGCTCAAAAAACTAAATGTACTGACGACCTGAAGCATGTTAGCAGTAACAAGATGCAAGCTGCGCAAGGTGAAGACAGAAGAAAAGAGCTGAGTAAGACCTATGTCCAGTAGTGGACGCGTAAAGGTTGATGATAATGATGATTAAAGAAAGACTATCCTTTAACAAGCAAGAATAATTCAACAAATCACCCAACAGCATAAAAGGTAGCAATGGAAATCTTATCTAAAATTCATTAAGGAGCTTAGAAACATAGAAAACCTATAACAGAAAAAATGTCTGTATTAGACACATGATAATCCAATATATGGAGAAGGAGAAACAAAACCTTCCATTATTAAAGCAGAGAGAGACGATGCCATTGCAGCACTAAACAACATTGCAGTAGTTCTTTAGAATGTACACTCCGATATAGTAATAATGCTATATAAATAAAAAAAAAAAAACAATTTCCAGATAATCTAGTTCCACTTTTTTAAACATATACAATGGCGAAAAAATTTCGGAGGACTGAACACTGAACTAATAACACCAGTGTTTATTGCATGTAGACGAATTGGGGACGAAATAACAAAAAATCTCGAAAAAACAGAATAAAAAATAGATGCTAGATATACGCAAGGAAGAAACAAAGTTTTAAGAAATTCTGTAGTTAACATTATAGAAACTATTGTGCACAACACGTGGGGAATAGACAGTAAAATTCTCACTTTTATGTACAAGTCATTGAGCAGGTCTGAACTCAATTACGCTTGTATTACTTATGATTCAGCAAAACCGGGTGCCTTTTTTATTATCCCTACTGAAAGTTTACAAGGTGAAGCTGGAAAAGTCCCCTTTGAATTAAAAAAAGAATAATTTTTGCTAACATATGCGGCATTAAAACGGGCAAATCTTATGAATACTGTTATCCCCTATGTTTAATTCAGACCGTTTTAGAAATATTTTTATCACACCCGCTAGACTTGACTTCTATCAAAGCCTTGTTTATATAAAAGGGTCAGAAGGTACGTCACTGAACTTGAAATAAAATTTTCAGATCTCTATTGTCAATACTGTATCTCCTAAGACTGTTTTCATCCCAACTATCAATATCAAACTCTCCATACATGAAAAGCAGATAAGTATCTCAAAATGTCCTTTAAAACTTAAAACATACATTTATGTTTAATAAAACCAAAATATTAATATAGCTTACTACTACTACTACTACGGATTTCCTAAGTTCTTGTAACTGCCTTGTAACTTATATCCTAGCTATTTAAGTTTGCCACTTATTAAATCAGCATTAAACCAACTGCAAATTATGAACATAAATGTCAACTTTGTATGGATGCCTTCACATATTGGAATTTCTGGTAATGAAGAAGTCCGGAAACTGTAGAAATCAGAAGCATTCCACATCTAGGTGTAAAACTTATAATCAATAACTAAGTAATCAATGCTTGGTAGACTAAGTGGATTTGGTCAACATCTAAACTACGAGAAGTAAAACATTCGATATTATCTAGAAAATCAGCTCCAAATAAGCGTTTACCTCAAAACATCCTATCTCGTCTTATAATAGGCCACACAGCCATCACCCATAAACATCTATTCTGCTGAAGAGTAAATTAAAACCACAATGCTGCGTATGTGATATTGTACTCAGTGTTCGCCATATTTTACTGGAGTGTCCTTTATATTGCATTGACAGACTTCAATATAAATGATAAGATACCTTTCAATCAATATTATGTGACGGAACTGATATGAATAATTTGTCATCATACTCATATTCCATAAATGTAGTAAATAAATTGTATAACTTTAAATTGTACTACGCCAATGACTCTTTAAGATTGGCACAAATTAACACAAAAAAAGTTCAGAATAAATTTAAACTTCAGTAATAAAAACATGGGTGGAATAAATAACATACCAACAGGTTAAAAGTAATAAAATAGGAAAAAAATTAAATCAATAAAAAATATCAGCTTTTAATGTCCTCAGGACATCAAATCCAATAAATCCGTTCAAACCATATCTCAGTAAAATAGTTCATTATATTTAAAAAAAATTGAATTGTCCTATAGTTAAAATATAACTTTAAATAGTTTTTTTATAAACTCTTAAGTATAGGTCTTACCTATATAATATTAGAATAAACATACAAAGATTTGCTCATAAATATACAAAAAGTCATTGTAGAAACAATTGATTCTTTAGTTAAATATAATAACCTAATATAATACTTTTATTTAAAAAAGTTTTCGTCCAAGCAGAAATAATATATAAAATAAATGAATATTTATACATTTACCAAAGGTTTGCTATATTATAATCAAACATAAACTTTAAAGCTTAATGCTACTTTACTATCCCGTGGCCTTACTAGTCGTATTCATCCATCAGCAGACTCGTCAATTTAACTTGTGACTTTCATTTCAAAGCCACAGACTCTTTGAACTGTATACTGCATGCGTTTGAAGTAATTCTGCGGCAACAATTAAATAATCCACACGATTAGAAGTTTTAATACCAGCCCACATCCAGCCGACTCATCAAATTTACCGTATTGAAACTTGATACACCTAATGGGTGTCATTTTTTCCGGGAGATCTTTTCTGACAAGTTCTACATCCAATTGCATTTTTAACCCTGTTTTAAGTCGTTAGTATCGATATCGAGACACACTAGCACAGGAGGATCGACGAAATCATGTGCCCTCCAAAGCACGATGAACGGCCCCTATAATTTTTAGGGAAGAAAATATCATTGTTTGTGCCGAGATTCAAGCTCGTTAGCTCTGGTTTAAAGTGCCAGTATCTGAGCTATGGCTGTCTATATTGAAGTTTAATAAACATCATTTAATGTGAAAAGCAAATTGCATATCAGAAATCAAAGTAATAAGTGGTAATCTGAAAAAAAAATTAAATAATGAAGGCAATAAAAAAATTATAATAAAAACCATATCTCTTGATTATTTTTAGATAGTTTATTAAAGATTTATTTAAACATTGTGTAATTTATCGATATCTTTTTCGGATTTTAAGCTTGGAACTTCTTGGTTGGAAACAATTTCTGTTAAAAAATAAATAAACAAAAATATTTTGAGCTGAACATATTTATTTTAATCTGAGCATATAGTTGTTATAATTTTAAACTTTCTATTTTTTTTTATTAACATGAATGATTGTTTCATTGACTTTTTGGATAGATTGGAGCTTCTACAAAACGAAGAAGTGACATATAGAATAAACAATAAATGTAACATCATTAGTTAATTAAAGTTGTGCCAAAACATTCTTAGAAACTTTCGAACAGGTTTAGGCCCCTTTTGCAAGAGCGTCTTCAGCCTTGTGACTCGGTTATGCGTCTACGTCGCATGGTTTGGATCCCTCCCTCCTGGCCAAGAGCTTAGCTAGGAGCAAAGCAAGCGGATGGTTTTCTTCAGCTTGGTAGTCGAAGTTAGCGGATGAGTCAGGAAGAGAATCGTCTCTGCGTCCATATCGCATAAAAGAGGGACTTTTGCCAAATCTTAGAAATATATCTTTACGTTTTGGATGCTTTTCTTGGCCTGTCTGGGACGAGGAGTCAACGGAACGTTTTGAGCGGGTTTTTTCGTCTTGTTCGTGAAATGATCGACCTGGAAAGAATAAGATATTATATAACAATAGAAAAAGTTTACAATAAATTTTTCTTAAAATAATTTTCTTTTATAAAAGGCATATTAACACGTTGAACGCCGCAATGTATACAATATAAATGATTTTCGGGGCCGAGGATATTTGTTACTCAAAACATATTTATATGTCATGAATATTCCATATATAAACATGATGTTGCATCAATATTTTTTTCCAAATCGTACTTTGAACCGCGAAGCAAGTATGCACCACGCGGCCCCCCAGTACCAAATCTCTCTTCGAGGCCGCGCGACCCACCTGTGATTCACGCCGACAGAAATAACTTGTTGGTCATAGTCGATTATTATAGCTTTATATTACAAGCATTAAGTCTATTTCGCGTCGTTTTATAAATAAGTACAATAAATTGTACATCTAAAATGAGCAAATACGAAAAAAAAAACAAATTCAACTTGAAAAAATGATGAACGAAATTTTGTCAGATGAAGAAACATTTGGATATTCGTCGGAAAGTTATATAAATAGTGATAGTGATACATTTTCTTCTTAACCTTGCTGGCCTGTAAGGAAGAAAAAAAAGTACCTCGTACAAAAAAAGACATTTGTTTGGCTTCGAAAGTAGCTGACCAACAGCGGTTGGTAAATGAAAGCAGCAGGTAAGTTGACGAGTTAGGTCCAAGTACAAGTCTTTCTTCTTACGTTGATAAAATCATTGAGGGTGTTATAAAGAAATTACAATGAAGCAGCGATTCTTCGTCAGACCAGATACTTGTTCGAGATACGAGTTCTAGCAAGTGGAGTGAAGTCACATGTAACAATTTGAAATCATTTTGCTTCTTGCTAGTAATTTAAAAATAAACTCTGATATTGCCACCCAAAAGACTGAGAAAACGCTTTTACCTAATGCTCGAATAAGAAAGTGGAAAGATACGAATATAGATGAAATAAAAATATTTTTGGGATACAAATTTAGATTGGGCTTATTCAAATGCCAAAACTATCCTCTCATTGGTCTTCTAATGTGCTATATTTTAATGAAATAAAACCAGTCATGTCAAGAAACAGATTTGAACTTTTTATGAATAATTTGCATTTTACTAATAACGAAAATTCACATATTTCCACAAGATTGTATACGATAATTAGAATATCTCGGACATATTACACGTGGAGAGAAATATACCCTGCTCCAACAGATTATGTAGGGAAAGATTCAAGAAAAGAGAAACATAGGGAGACGTAGAATGTCATGGCTGCGCAATCTGAAGGAATGGTATGAATGTATATCAAATGAACTTTTCAAAGCAGCCGTCTCAAAAGTCCGAATAGTTATGATGATTGCTAACCTCCGCCGCGGAGATGGCACTTGAAGAAGAAGTATATGATAAATAGACTTCGGCAAATATGCATATTGCATATTTTGCATATTGTGCATATTTTGTGCAAATATTTCATATATTTTGGCATATTTGTATAAAAGTTTGCATAAAGTGCAGAAAAGTTCAGATTTTTATACTGTATTTGAAAATTTTTAAACATACCAATTTATTTCAATTCTTGTATAAAATTTTGTAGTCATTTTAATCAAGAAATGATCTAAGTACGTAATCTCTACAGGTACAAAACATTTACAATTTCTTAGAAGATCAATTTAAGTAGCCCTCAACATTCTTAGAAAGTCTCGGTCACTGAGGCATTCAGTTGGATAATCGCTAAGGGTTCGCTCATTTGCATTTTATGATCTAATCCCCAAATCTATCTACAATTTATTGTATCTTAACAGCAGGTAAACGGCTAATAGTTTTGTTCCTAATTTAGGGATTTTCCAAAATCTCCCAGTTTATTGAATTAGGTACCTAAACATTTCTAATTTGATGCTCAGATTTGTAAATCATTTTTGTTTTGATATTCAAAGCGTAAACACTCGTTGTGCGTAACAAAAAGGAAGATTGTGATTTTATAATGCCTAAAACAACCAGTGCTTCAACTTGGATAAACCTTATAAAGAGCTGTCTATGGATATGGGAAAAATCTACTGTTCAGTCTGTGGCAAAATTGTAAGTATCTAATATTTTCTATTAAATATCTAATATTTCATACATACAGGGTGTTTCCAAATGACACTTACAACGTTTGACTGTATATACTTCTCGAAAAATTGAACAAAACGATATAGTTAATGAGGGGTCAAACTTATTTACTTTTCGAGATACAGGGTGTTAAAATTAAAAAAAATTAAATTCTTTTAGTTAATAACAACAATAACTTTAAAACCAATAAACGTATTTACTTGAAATTTAGTACTCGTAGGTTGTTTTTAAATGAAAAATAGCTTCCTTTAGTTAGAAAAAATTGTCCATGGTACAATACAATGGTGTGTATTTAGAAAAATTTTTCATCTTTACTTTTTTTATGAAGTCAGCTATTCTAAAACACAATTATTTTTATTGTAATTGAATTAACAAAAAAAAAACTTTTGTTGAATTTTAAAATAAGTTATATGATGTACTAATGGTTAGAAACAAAAATAATTTGTGGATTAAAACTGCATTTAAAACACTTAGCGAGTGTTTTTTTTTTCCAAACCAGTTATTTGATTAACCAAAAACACCTTGTATATTTTTATATTTTAAAGGTTGGGTTAAAATAAAGGTTTTTATTTTTATTTATAGATAGCATGTGAGAAGAAATTTCAGATAGACCAACATGTGAGAACTGCTTCACACATTGCAAAAAAAGGAAAAATAGGAGGAAAACATCAAACTTCAATGGCTAAATGTTTCCAATCTACTTCAAAAAAATTAGATGAGCAAGAAACTTTTAATGAAGACTTGTGTCGCGCATTAGTGTCTGCAAACATACCGCTTTCAAAATTAGCAAATGTAAATTTTAGTTCGTTTCTAAAAAAATATTGCAAACTTAATGTTCCAAGTGATCGGTGTCTAAGAAGAAATAATGTGAACGGGCTATACTCGTCGGTGTTAATTAATATTAAGGAAGAAATTGCAGATAATTATTTTTACATATCTGTAGACGAAACCACTGATTCCTCAGAAAGTATATTGCTCATTTATTGATTGGTGTTCTTAAAGAAGATACCTTACCAAAATCTCATCTTATTTCATGCCAGCAACTTGAGAAAACAAATGCTTTAACAATTTTGCGTTTTATACAAGAAACATTAGCAACTTTTTTTCTTTCGACAACTATTCCTTCTAATAAATTACTTATTTTATCGGATGCTGCTCCTTATATGGTGAAAGCAGGACAAAATTTAAAAATATTTTTCCCAGATTTAATACATGTTACTTGTGTAGCGCATGGATTAAACAGAGTTGCAGAGGAAATACGAAAAAAGTTTCCTCTTGTAAATACCATGATATCCAGTGTCAAAAAAGTATTTCTTAAATCTCCTATAAAAATTCAACTTTATAAAGAAATGCTACCTAACATTCCTCTTCCACCACAACCTATTTTAACGCGATGGGGAACATGGTTAGAAGCAGCTAATTTTTATGCAGATCATTTTGTTAAAATAAAGAACATAATTGATACGTTAACAGATGAAAGTTCCCAATTTTTTTTGGATTCTAAACAAACTTTTCAGAGTAACTTGCTTCAACAAGAACTTTCGTTTATAAAATCAAATTTTAGTTTTCAGTTAGAATCACCAAAACTGTCATTGTTCGAAAGTACAGCATTAATAAAAGAATTTGCGTCATGTTGTCGGAACGTTAGAGGTAATATTGGAAAAGATATTTTAAAAAAATTTGAAGCTACTATGGAAAAAAATAAAGGTTACCATATTCTTTCTGAAGTAGTCAGTGTTCTAGCTGGAAATATTTCGGAAACAATTAATTTAGAACCAAATGTTTTGGTTAGTTTGAAAAATGCTCCCGTTACATCAGTTGATGTTGAACGAAGTTTTTCCATATATAAATATATGTACTCAGACAGAAGCCACAAGTTTTTGTTAGAAAATTTTGAACACCACTTGGTCATTTATTGTTACCATAATTCTAAATAAGTTTATTCATACTTAAAAATGATGTAGTTACTTAAAATAAATGTAAATCTTAATGAATAGTAGGAAATATTTAGTTATGTACACTTTTTTTTTTAAATAAAACTGTTACTCTTTTACGATTTTTTTTATTTATTTGTATGCATATTTTGTAAAATATTTGCATATTTTCGGGTAAACATGTGCATATTTATGCGCATATTTTCTACATTTTTATTTGCATATTTGCCGAAGTCTAATGATAAAACATCCAACAAAAATTTCAAAACTATATAACGCCGTCTGGTAACATTTGTATAGACAAAACTTTAGTTCCCTTTCATGTTCGGCCATTTTTTCTACAATTTATCAAAAATAAATAGCATAAGTTTGGTGTAAAATTCTTTAAATTATTTATAAGATGGATACACGTATGACTTTAAAATCTATTGTGGTAACGAGAAAACTAATAGCGTACTTAGTGTTCCCAGTTCGGTTGTTTTTAGGACTATGTGACGGTCTTACCGTATTTGTTGACAACTATTACACGAGTATTGAACTAGCACATAAATTATTAGAACGAAAAAACACACCTTATTGGAACCTTGCGAAGAAATCGAAAGGGAAATTCAAAAAATATTATTGAAAAAAAAAGCTAAAAAAAGGGGCAGGTAATTGGTGCAGAAAGTGACTCAGGAGTTGTAGTAATAACTAAATGTGATACACGCGAGGTTCTGATACTCTCAACAAAACATACGGAAATAATGCTACCAGTAATTTTTATTTTTTATTAGTTAGGTACATTTTACGAAGTTTATAAGTTCCTAATTAGGTAGTATTTTTTATGTTTAGGTTTGGAAGAATTTTATTGTTTTTTTTTTTGTAAAAGTGCAAACGATTCTTATTCTGTTTTTTTTTTTTCTTCTTTCTTGTCATATTGTTATTAGCTTTGTCTATAACATTTGTACAATAAAGTACAAATAGAACAATAAATAT